ACATAAACACTTTCTCGCTTATGCAATTACAAGGATTACCACTGCCGTGGCACCAATCTCACCACCCACCGCCCACCTCCGCACACCCGATCCACTGCCCAAAATCCACTCTGACAATACCAGAAGATCGTCAATGGCGGACGGCTATAGGAAGCCGGCGATGAGCCTCAATCAGCTTCACAGCCGATATCTCGTCGACCTCTCTGCTTCTCAACCTAATAAACCCAAACCAAAACCAGGTAAAATTTTAAAATTTCTCATGTATATATATGCATATCTGTAGTTATATACGCGAGTTTATCCTTGCCCTAATTTTTATTTCTATTTTTTTGGCGTTTGATTTTTGGAAACCTTAGTCGATGATGTAATCCAATCAACGGTAAAGCCCAATGAGAGATTTGACGATGTTCCCCGATTTGACTTCGGTACTCCTTCTCCGCCTGTTCAAGGTATTTTTATTTCCTTGTATGTATTTAAATTAAGAATTTCGTTTTTGTTTGAGGAAAATGAGATATCTTTTTTTGTATTAAATTGATGCACGGAAAGTGAATGATGAAGAGCCTGTGTCAAAGATGAAGGAATCATCTCCGTGCTTGTATGGTGGCTTTTCCGACTTTGATTCCCCTTCTTCCGTTCTTGGTATGTATTCTGACCTCTCTGTAATTTTAGGGGAAATAAAATTGCAGCAGTAGTAGCTATGGTGGGCTGGTGAACAAGGCTGATGAACAAGACGAAGACCTTTGTTGTTTTTTTTTTCTTTTTTTTCTTTTTTTTTTTTAATTTTTTATTTATTCTATTTAACATTTATTCAATTTTAAAAATGGAAAAGACGTCAATAGCCTTGGATTTGTCATGTGCGACGCACATGGGTTGAGAACCGGTCATTTTGACCTGCAAACCGGCAAAAAAGGGTAAAGTGGCACAATTAATTGAGTATAGGTGAAGTTGTGCAAAAAAAAATTGTTCAGGTGGTGATCCGCAAAAACTCAAAAAGTTTAGGTGGTTTAATGCTATTTACCCTATATTTATTAAGGTTTTTGTCCCATCAGTTGAGATTCTTAATTTATAACCAAAGATTAATTAGACAATAATTGTTGCCTGAACATAAGATCCATCAAATTTATCCAACACAAAATGTCACAGCTGAGGTTGAAGCTTTCAGTTTTCCCTTTCTCAGACAATGGAACTTCAAGTACTGTCAGATGTAGTAGCCTTAATAACTCAACAGTAAGTACATGTAATCAATCATAAGATTCCTTTTTTTTTTCTTTTTCTAATTAACTAACTTGTAATGTAGAGTTTACAAAAATCAATTGGAAAAATAAGAGAGAGGATTACAAATGGAAAGGTTGAGATATCTCCGTCTGCATACGACACGGCGTGGGTGGCTATGGTGCCGGCGAGGGAATATTCCGGCTGTTTCCCGCAGTGCTTGGATTGGATCTTTGAAAACCAGAACCCGGATGGGTCATGGGGTATGGATCCGGGTCATCCATCTCTGGTCAAACACTCTCTTTCTTGCACACTCGCATGCTTGCTTGCCCTCCGCAAATGGAAT